CATCCATCCATCCATCCATCCATCCATCCATCCATCCATCCATCCATCCATCCAATTTATATAGCCGTCCAACTCAGACCAGTGACTCTGGGTGGCTAACAATAACAAAAACAGACAAACACTTAAAACAATACAGAAAATTAAATATAAATATAAATACAGCCAAGAGATCTTTAAAAACCTGTTGGTATCAGCACAACCATGAAACAGGGCCCTTCGCACACTCGGGGCTCCAGGCCCAGGCATAAAGCCAGGTCTTCAAGGCCTTCCAAAAAGCCAAAAGGTTCAGGGCCATCCTATTCTCAGGAGGGAGGATGTTCCAAAGGGCAGGCGCCACAGCAGAAAAGATACATCTCCTGGTACCCACCAGCCGACATTCGTTGGCTGACGGGACCCAAAGCCTGCCCAACCTGCTAGACCAAATTGGATGGGTAGAAACAACTGAGAAAAGACGGTCCCTTTAGATATATCTAAAGGCTGCAGCAAGTGGGTCACTGACATGGTGGGTCATCAACATGGGTGGGTGTAGATTAATTTGGGGGTCCATAGAGGAACAACAGTTTTTTGTTTTGGTTTTGGTTTTTTGCATGTGTTAACCCTAAATCAAAGCCTATACACCTTTTTGTTTTTGGTTAAATATGATGGGAAATTGCATTTCTGCTTTTGATAATTTGCCACCAAAATTTGATAATAAGATCTGTGGGAGTTCTGGGAGGGCTATAGGCTGTCAGTCATCAATGTAATGCATATCCTTTTTTTATTTCAATTCTTTTTTAACTGTAAATTTATTTTATCATCTTGTACAAATCCAACTGAAATCAGTAGAAATTAAGAATTGAATTTTATATTTCAGTTCTCTTCATTTTGGACTAATTTAGGGATTCCTTAATCTTCAATAGATGACAATTGTTTTTCTTTCCTGTGCAAAAATACAGGTATAATTATTATTTCTCATTCTGGTTTATAATTAATTCATAATTTCTTTGAAAAGTTATAAATGTTGTTTAACAGGAGAATTTACAGTTCTAATATTTTGAGACTATTTTCTTGCCTGAACCTTTTTCCATTTGCCTAACCTACATATTGTTTGCAAATCATAGGACACTAAAACTAGATAGGGAGAAAAATGGATCTTTTCTTTATTTCAGATCCGGACGTGGATTCTTACAGTGGGCTATACAACTGCATTTGGGGCAATGTTTGCAAAAACATGGAGAGTCCATGCAATCTTCAAAAATGTAAAAATGAAAAAAAAGGTGAGCCTTTAAAAAAATAGTTCCATTAGCTCATGTCTGGGTTGCCTCTTCTACTTTTTTCCTCTGATTGCAGATTGAAAAACAATATTGGAAATCTGTACTGATTACTTGTATTAATATGTTGCCTGCTTACATTCTTGGACCTTATATTTGGCACTCATACAAAGCCATATATAATGTCATAAATTGGTATCTGACTTGAATCAGGTTTAGAAATCCTGAGATGGAGCATCTTGACTTGTGAGAGCAATCCAACTGAAGAAAAAGCCCTTAAATGTTAAGCCAGAAGTTTCTTCAGTTCAGACTGATTGTCATGGTTGATATTACCATTTTGCTTTTATGGCCTGAAAAGAAGAATCAGCCTGATGCACACCTGACTTACAGATGTTATTTCAGTTTAAAATCTTGGGCGAGGGAGCTCTCCCAAACATTCCAGAGTCTTGTGTTTGCATTTTTTAAATGCTGGATAGAATAGATTCATTAATTCAGTAGACTATGCACATCCCTAGGTATAGGACAGCCAGCTTCTATTGTGTAGTATTATAAGTAGTATTATAAGGTAGATGCATTCAGGCTGGATATGATGTGCAGTTTTGGGTGTTAAATAACATGTTCTGCTAACATGGGTGTAATTTATGATTGAAGCTGTATAGCTTGGATCTGGGCATATAGCCACTGTCCTTATTTTTTCTTATCTAGTTGTCAATCTAATCTGATGCAAATTGTGGTATATGATTGCCAAGAGCCTTTGTCTCCTTCTATTTCATTGGCTGACTCTTCTTTTGTAATCCTGCATGTCACTGGCCTTTTGTCAAAAGCAGATTTGGCAAATACAGGTTGAGGAATTACATATTCTATGGTGTAATCTGTATGGAAGAAACAATGGAAATAATAGAGAACAGAGCAAAGAATATTCCATGCCTTTCTTGTTCTATTTATAGAGGGTTCTATATTTTGTGAATTAAGTGCAGACTGTGAGGGCGGCATGGAATTTTCTATCTTCTGTTTCTTAGACTAACAATTTTCTCTGTTGTCCTTCAAATTTGAAGTTGCTAATTTTAATTAGACAAAGATCATCAACTCCTAGGAAAACTTTTGCCTACTACCTTTAAAAAATTGCATGAGAAGTAGGGCACAGGTAAATGCTGAATCACATAATATACTAAGCCATAATGTAGGTAGTTGAATGTGAATCCAGTTATTGTAGTTTATATACCAAGATTTGTGACATAACATGATGCAGAAATTCAACCACTTAGATAAGCAATCTGTAGCTTAATGCAATTATGGGTTATTGCTATATTGTAGAGAGACATAAATTAAAAAATGCTGGTGCAACCAAACAGAAGTTGATTGCTATTTATTTATTTGTAAAATGTATATGACCACCCAACTTCCATGACTGACTATGACTTCAGGCAGTGAACATCAATAAAAACAGGAAAACACAAGTTACAATTAAAATTAATGATATCAACAAAACTAAAGCAAAAACATGCCAATAGTCGGTCAACACATACTCCACCACCCAAAGATGAGCTCTTCTATTATCTGGCCCAATGCCTGGGGAAAAGCTCAAGTTTTTAAAGCTTTCCTAAAGGTGAACAAGGTCAGGGCCAACTAAATCTCAGGGGGGAGGCCATACAAAAGGGCAGGTGCTGTAACAGAGAAAGGGTACCTCCTAGATATGACATTGCCTCAGGGAAGGGAGCTGGAGCATGTCCATTCTGTTAGAACATGTGGAAAATAATCAGAGACAAATAGTCCTAAAAATAGCCTGGTCCAATTCCATGTAGGGCTTCACAGATGTTAACCAGCACTTTGAATTGCACACAGAGACCTATTGGAAGCTAATATAGCTGGCAAAGTAGTTGTGATACATGGGGGTACATGTACTTGCATGGTACATGCATGGTAACTACATGCACTGCTGCATTCTGAACCAGTTGTGGCTTCCAGATAGCCTTCAAGAGGAGACCCATGTAGAGCACATTGCAATATAGATATTGAGGGACCACATGCAGAGCCTTCTGATCCAGGAATGGGTTCAATTGCCACACAAGCTGGAGTTGTACCAGGACTCTCCTGGCCATAGCTGCCACTTGCTCCTCAAGCAGGAGCTTTGAGTCCAGGAGAACATTCTGGGGAAAGTTATTAAGAAGGTGATCTGGCAACAGTTCCAAAAGATCCTGGAGGAAACTGATTATCTGAACCCGTTTCAGTTTCATTTTGGTTTCAGGCCAGAGTACAGTATGGAAGTAGCATTGGTCATGCTTGTTGATGACCTTTGGCAGAACAGCACCAACTGGAACCAATTCTGAAGGAAGGAGGAGAACCAAGGTAACACCATATCTCCCACTCCCAACCCCCTGAGCTGGTTCAGATAGATACCATAGTTGATAGTATTGAAGGCTGCTGAGAGATCAAGGAGGACCAGAAGAAATGCACTCTCCCCATCCAGAGCCCATAACAGGTCATCAACAAATGCAACTAATGCCTGATACCATGTCCAGTCTGAGCCCACATTGAAAGTGGCCCAGAATATGTTGCTGAATATGTAAAACAGGTACATTAAACCTCCAAGGTATGTAAAATAAGTCCATTAACCCCACCCTGGGAGCACAAAAAAATCCCTGGTGATGTCATTGAATCAACTGTATGCCTTCCTGAAACTCTTGAAGGCTATTTTTTTAAAAAATATTTTTTTAAAATGTCCAGACCTATTTTAAATAAACTGTAGTTACCACTTATGCTAAGATGGCCTTCCAACCAGGTGATTGCAGGTTTCTAAAGCCTTGTTTGGAGACCATTTTGCTTAATATTAGAGCTGTTTTATTTTTAGATATTAGCTTTATTTTTAAATTTTAAATTTATAGATTTATAAATTTAGATTTATTTATTAGAACTATAGTAATACACACTATATTTTGACTCTAAATAAATATGATGATGATGATCTAACCATGATTACCACAAACCATGGAAGGGATAGAATGCACAGGTTTATAGGATGTTTGTTGTCTCCGAGATACATGGTTCTGAGATTTGAGAAATATGATACCAAGTTGAATTACCATTAGATTAGATAGAACAGCCTGGCTGCGAACAATAATACTTTGTTTGATCCACAATCTTAAACAAACTGACCTAATTTTTATTTATCTTAACAGCTTTACAGATTAGATACAATTATCCTTTGGATTCTTCATTTCTTTGAATTTTGTAATGTGTTTTGGCTCAAAAATTGTTTGCAATAATGTATACAAAGCATGTATAAAATGGGTGTACTGGGAAAAGTTTTGTACACAGTGAAGTTCCTTGCATTTTTTAAAAAATTTACACAATGGCACAGAAATGTGATCAAATAAATGTATAATTAAGTATGTGTGAAACTGAAATAGATTAAGATGTATATCCATATTTGGAAACTGAAAGCTTTCCCAGCATAAAGTGTTCAGAATGTAGCTTGGAGAGCAGGAGCAGTTCAATTACAGTAATCACTAAAAAAATCTTTATTAATTATGTTCCTGTCAAATCTTAACAATGTAAAATGTTCAAAAGTAGGAAATAAACCTAAAAAATAAACAAATATTTTGTGATAGGTCTTCTCATCCCACCAAGCTGTCTATAGAGAGGCCTCAAGTTTGCTGGAACCTACTTGAACCACACATGTAGTGTTGCCCTGCAATGCTGAGGATAATATGCTATGGAGGTAGGCATGAAGATCCTTAGACAGATACAGGTAGTCCTCACTTAATGACCCTAATTGGGACTGGAATTTCCATTGCTAAGCAAAGCGGTCATTAGGCGAAACACCATGTGACCTCACTGCTTAGTGATGGCAGTTCTGGTAGTCTTGGTTGCGCTCATTAGGCCAGGACAGCACTGTCATTAGACGATGAATTCTCGCTTCTCACTTCTCTTGCCCTGCCATGCTCACCTCCATTTCAACTCCCACCACCTGCCCATCTCCCCCCATCTCTGTCCTTTTGGCTGCCCCACACTCTGCCACCTACCCCTGCGGCCCCACCCCCAACCCAGCTGACCTCAGTCATATTCTTCCCGTGGCTGACAAGGCATACCCAGCCAAGGCAGCTGCTGGCCCTTCACGAGGCCTTCGCATGGCCTTCCCAAAGCCTTGTAAGGCTGCACAGATGCCTCGTGAGACTTCAGGGAGGCCGTGCGAGGCTGCACAGAGGCCTTGCAAGGCTTCAGGGAGGCATGCTTTGTCAGCAGGAGGAAGAAGACAACAGAGGCCAGCTGGGGTGGTGGGGGGCAGCAGCGGTAGTGCAGGGCAGCCAAAAGGGCAGAGATGGGGGGGGGGAAATAGGTAGGTGTGGGAGAGTTGAAGCACATGCTGCAGTTGTAAATGTGGGCAGGCTGCCAAGCAACCAAATTTTGATCAGGTGACTGCAGGGATGCTGCAATGGCCATAACTTTGAGGACTGGTCATAACTACCTTTGTTCAATGCTGTCATAACTTTGAATGGTCGTTGAATGAATGGTTGTTAAGCAAGGACTACCTGTATTAGAAGCTATCAAAGGAAATAGATTTCAAACCAGTCATTTAATGGATATTGTGAAAGCTAAGTTATTTCACACAAATAGAGAAACAGAACAAAGTTCACTCATCAATATTAATTTAACTTCATCCTCTGCTAAATATTCTATTCTACTCTGAGGTAATTGCCAGTAAGTTTAATGTGACTGAACTTAGAATTGCAAACTAGTTTCCTTTTTTTTTTTTAGATTGTTAGATTTCTTCATAATTAATTCTGATTTACAAATATATATGGGGGGATCATTTTATAGAGGTAAAAATCTTCATGCTGAATAAAATCAACATGACCAAATGCACTATTTAGATGCCATCTGTTGAGAATGAACTACCAAATGGTGATTTACATTTAATGTTTTCCGGAACTGTAGCTTATTTCAAAATAAGAAAAAATAGAAACCCAGTGCTTAAAATTACAAAAAGTGAATTAGAGTATGACTCCACAATTGCATGTGACCAGTAGGGTTTTTTTTCTAGAGTAATGACCAGAATAACGTTTTTTTAATTGAACTTGAATTTTTTGAGGTATCCTAATATATTTTTGGGATCAGATAACCTTTTTTTAAGGGCTGCATTCTTAGAGGTAATGTGCTGGGGGCCATGTACCAACTGATAGATGGAAAGCAAGAAAGCAAGGGGATGGAGCCAGTGTCACCCATTGTCTCTCTTTTGGACATGATTTTTTTTTTTCTGCTGACATCCTCTTTCCCTCTCTTTCTTTTTCTGATTCCCCCTTCTCTCCCTCTCCCTCTTCCTCCCAATGCAGAAAGCTGATTGTTCTTGTTAGGGTAATCACTTTTTGCCCTTCCAGAAAGTCATGAAAATCAAGCTATTCTGGTGGGATTTGGGTAGTTGAATTCATCATTGTAAATTAGACTGTTACTTGTGTATTATTGTATAATAATTATAGAACTGCTGTTTTTTTGGTGATATTATTAAATTATGGCATTAGAAGTGTGGTTGGTTGGGCAGTTTATTGTAATATTTTTGTCAGGAATCTTTCAGTATTATACTGTTTACTATGAACATTTTGACCATAGTTTTTGTAAACTTCCATGACTTTGAATGCATTTGGGAGCATTAAATTAACCTTTTGCTTCAAGAGCTTTTGAAATTCGGCTGAGAGCCACAGGTTACCCCTCTTCAAACTAGGATAAAATGTATTAGGGGTTGTATCTGATCCAGTCTTATGTAAATGTATACCTGGGGATAAGGCCTACTGAAATCAAAGGTTCATATTTTTGATAGTATATCTAGAATTATGGTATAAAGTAATGTCACTTAATTTCCATTCAAAATAGTAAGAATTAAGTTAGACCACTGATTTTAGCACTATCTAAATGCAACCGATTTACTGTGGACTTAGCACTAACTCCATGGTTTCCATTAAATGAGGTACGTATAGTGAGAACAAGAAATACATAAAACGAATATTTAAAACAGGTTTGAGCAATTTATAGATTTTAGCTTATTCATATAACCTCAGTCTAATTTTAAAAGCTCTTTGCAAAAAAAAAAAAAGTCACCTTCTAGTAAGAGAGAGCTGTCACTTCTAGTTGTTTCTGGGCAGAAAAATAGAAAACTAAAGTGAGAAAATGATGGCAGAAGAAAAATGGAATAGCAAAGAGAGAGAGAGAAAAGGGTTGGCCCATCCAATATTGACCAGCTCACTCACTCACTCTTGCCTTCAGCCCTACCTTCAATGGATTATCCTGAGTTATCTGAATGTCACTAAAGGGTATAGGGAGAGTTAGTTTGGTGTAGTGATTAAGGCACTAGACTAGAAAAAAGGAAACTGTGAGTTCTAGTCCCGCCTTGGGGACAAAGCCATCTGGGTGACTTTGGGCTAGTCGCTCTCTCTCAGCCCTGGGAAGACGGCAATAGTAAATCACTTCTGAAATCTTGCTTTAAAAAATGCAGGGACTAGACCAGGAAGTTGCCAGGAGTCAACACTGACTGAAAGGCACCCCCCCCCCAGATGTATAGAAGAAACTGGGATGTCTTAAATTACACCAAACATCTGATACAACTGAGAGCTCACTTTCCTCTGTTCCTGAGCTCTGTTGTTGTTGTTGTTCAGTCGTTAAGTGGTGTCCACCGTGACCCCATGAACCCTATCGTGCCAGGCCTTCCTGTCCTTCACTGCCTCCCTGAGTTTG